TTATCAAATTGGCAGATGACATTTAGTCCTCCCACTAAAGCTGGGAGGAGGGATAGCTAGCATACTGGATGGTATAAAGTACAAGAAATTCTCAGGCTCTAGCCTGAGAACTGGGCCACATGTAACAAGATAAAATTGTACTGTGGTATCTATAAAGCCTTGCTCTTGGGTTCAGAAAACTGACTTCACAAGTATAAGGTGGGGGCAGGATGGGGGTAGGGGAGGTACGATTAGACAGCAGTTTGAAAAAGATCAGGGGGTTTTAAGTGGATTGCAAGCTCAATATGAATCAACAGAGTGACATGCAGCCAAAAAAGCTAATGCTATTTTGGGCTGCATCAAGAAGGGCGAAGCTTCCAAGAAAGGAGATGAAAGTCTTGCTGTAGTTGGCCCGAGTCAAACCAAATCAGTATTGTGTTCAGTCAATAAACATTTATTAAGCACCTTCTGCCGTGCTAGGTACTGTGCTAAGCTTCGGGGCTACAAAAACAAACAAAAGGCAAAGGACAGACCCTGCCCTCAAGAAGTCACAATCTAATGATTAGTTCTACATATCTTAATAAGAATAAGGACACTCTCCCCTTGTGGTTACACTTTTGCTCCTAGGATATCCAGACTTCAAAGAACTACCCCCTCCCCTAATTTATTGTGGATTGTATTTTAACCTGTCTTTATGATAGACAAAAATAACTCATATTAACTACCAGCCATATGCAAGGCACCAAGATGGATACTGGGGATACAAAAACAAAAATGAAACATTCTCTACTGTCAAAGAGCTTATCAGAACTGATTCTCAGGCTAGAAAACGTGTTCATGATGTTCTACCACCCAGGCAGGAGTTTCCCCCAATTTAGGAGCAGGGAGAAAAGGGGAGCTATTGAGAAAATATGGGGAACAAGTAAACAACATAATTTGATGCAGCCTGGAGGAGTTTCAGGGACATATAGAAAGGAGTATAGAAATCTCTTTTTTAATGAATTGTGTTTCAAACATTTATTTATGTCATTTTGGAGCTCATTTCCCTTTAGAAACAATGTGATCAAAGGTTAGATTTCTATACCGGTCTGCAAAAGCCTGTTCAACTATCACTTAACTAAGAGACTGTGTGGCCAATTAGATGGTGAACTAGACTCAGAATCAGAGATTTGGGTTCAGTTATTGTCCCCGATACACACTGGCTCTTTTTAAAGCTAGTTTAAGTAAGATTTAAGTAAACCTTTTTAAAGTTTTGTTTTGTTTTTTAATCTAAGTTGCCAAATAGTGGCTGATATCTATTGTCAGAGGGACTTTCTCAATAGCAGTTAATTCTCTACACTGATGAAATCATAGATTTCACCACACCCATCTCCAACTAGAATCTAGTTTCACAGAAATGAACCAATATTTATAACAATGTTTCTAAGGAAGCATACTTTTAGAATTTTAAGTTGCAAGACATAAAAATACATATTATTCCAGGATTTGGAGTATTACCCTCTACCAAGCTCACTCTCAAACATTTTCTGAATGCCTATACATGGAGGAAATAGTGCTAGGGATAGAGATTACATCAAAGCTTCTGCCCATGGCTTAATTAAAAGCAGTTCTCAAATTTTTTCTTCTCAGGATCCCTTTATACGCTTCAAAATATTGAGGATCCCCCCTCCCCACCCAAAGAAATTTTATGTGGATTATATCTATCTACCTATATATCAGTATTAATGATATTAGAAATTAAATCATTATGAAAAGTTTTGACCTCAGTGGACCCCATGAAAGGGTCTAGTGGACCCTTGGTGTCCCTGCATAACACTTTGAGAACCATTAACTTAGAGAGTGTTTGTTCTGCATATAGGATGGGCTTCCCTTTCTCAAAGCCCAAGCCTTTAGCAGCAGATAGTGGTTTGCAGGAGGGAGTGGTGGCAACTGGTTCTTGGGGTTTTGGACTCCAATGGGAATGGGGGTTTTGGTATGTAAGTATTTGGCAGAAGCAGGAAATCCTGGGTAGAGTGGACAGTAAGATTGTCAGTGGTGGTGGTAGTAGTATTAGTAGCTTTCTATAGAGCTTTAAACATTTCTAAAACTTCCAACAGTCCTATGAAATGAAGGCAGTGGAAATATTGTCTCCATTCAAAGAGGAGACTGAGGCTCATAGCGTTTGAGTGATTTGTCGATGGTCACACAGTAAGTATTGGATTCACAATTTGAACCTGGGTCTTTCCTGACTTCAAATCCAGTGATTTTTTCACTCCACATCTCACAGTCTTTCAGTAATGGGGCTTCAGTGAAAGATTAAGGACATTGATGAGATATCCCCTAATGGCAGTGGTAGCAGAGAGTGTTCCTATGGCCTAGGCCCATAAGTAAGTGAAGTCTTGACTGGGGCAGTCATTGATATATAAGGGAATATAGTAAACATAGATAAGTGGTGAGAAAAGACTTGAAAATGAGTAGCAGCAATTGAAGGAATGTGTTTAAACAGAAAAGGCTTGTGGAAAAGAAATTTGGTAGGAGTTTGGAGAGAGAGAGAAGATAAATCACCGAATTTGGATAATTGTGGAAACAGAAGTTTTGACACAGATCTGAAGAGTGAGCCTCAAGGACTGAGCTTAAAGTAGTGAGCCAGCTGGCCTAGTGGTAGAGCCATATTTAAACTATTAACAATCAGAATCATAGTTTGCATCAAATAACTCCCCTCTCCCACCCAGTTAATAATATTCATCAGAATTACAGTCCCTGAATTGATCACAAGAGGTCACTCTTGCCTCATTAGCCTTTTAATGCATCATCTTTACCAAAAAATAAAAAGTTACAGATGAGAAATGGACAATCTGGCTGCAGGCAAATAGCCTGATCCAGACTTATCCTAGGGAAAAAAATTCTAGGCCTTAGGGAGCCTGGAAGTATGAACTGTTAGAGAAAAAGGGACAGTGCCTCTGAAGCCTTCAGAGCCTTTCCACATAGAAGGATTTGCCCATTTGATTTAGCTCCTGCTGGTACTGTCGATGCTCCTCCTCAAACAGCTGACTTAAGGCAGCCTGCCGAACCTGGGAGAGGAAGGGACAAAGTAAAGTGTGGAAATTTGCCTTTTGGCACCCACCCACCACCTCTGCCCTTGGCTGGTTCCCTAGCTCTTGGGTTTTGTTTTTTTAATTTGGACATAGGGACAGGAGGTAGCTTAGGATAGGGAAGATAGCATACACTTCACACATATGGACACGGAGCATACCACATCATTTCCTCAAGCTAGGTGAATCCAATACGATACAGCAGGGGTTAAGGGACAGTAAAGAAATAGAAATAAGGTTAACTTAAAGTACATTGAGTCTAGGGAGCTAGAGAAGCACTAAGGGAAAAAGATCAGATAATCAACCAATCAACGAACATTTAAGAACCTACTATGTGACAGTCGTGCTAGGCACTGGAGAATCTTTGGCTGTTGGTACATTTGGATAGCAAAATATGCGACACAAGTAGGATGCAATTGTTGAATACAAAGCTCTGGTATTTAGAATGAAAAGGCGTTGGTGAAACAAGGACATGGTAAATGCAGCTAGTTGCTAGCAAGCAAAGTGGTTCAGGGTAAAGATCATGGATGGCCCTGGGAATCCTAATGGGGCAAAGGGAACAATAGTGGGTTTGACCCACTCACAGTTAGCAGCTGCTTGTTGGCCAATGCCATCTCCTGTTCCATGATGTCTTGCATTCTCAGGATGGCATATGGGTTCCTCCTCTGGTTCATTGTTGCCTGCCATACGCACTGAACTACTGTATTTTTCCAACTGTCCCAGGAGAATTTATGTGGATTTCAGTTAGGAAGATAGAATACCATTAGGCATTTCTGTGAGCTAGAATTTGTCTTGTGTTTCCTAAATAAGTAAGCTCAAGTGTAGGTACAATCTCTATCTCTCTGGAACCTCTCATAAGTGTTTATTATACTGCTGGGCATAGATCTCGAAAGAAGTTCCCCCTTACCGACCACTCCCATTTACATTCAGGGTACTGTGGGAGAAGAAATAGGAGGAAGGGCAAAATTAGGTACTGTAGTCTAATCTGGGGGTCATTAATGAACTGGTATGTATTTACATTTGTTATGTGAAGCTAATTCTTGCCTTTCTCTGAATCTTTGGGATAAATACCTTATAGTATTGAGGATGGAGAAAACAGAGGAGACCATACTGGTAAGTGGAAATGCTGGGGGGGAGGGCATGGGAAATTACCTCTCAACAGCCTTCTCAAATGCTACCATCCTCTTGTAACTCTGCAAGGAAAATGAATGCACCTGGTCAGCCCAGATTCCAAACCCCTCACCCTAGCATCCTATTCGTTAGTCTTGGCCTAAGAGGAACTTGGAGGATCTTTTCCCACCCACTCACTCCATCAGAAATAGGGCAGGTTAATATCGAGCAATAAATCATTCAAAATATTTCAACACGTGGAAAGCAACATCCCATTTCAGGGGTGGGGAAGTTCCTTACAAAGCACTTTCTTGGTACTTCCCCATGCTCACACTGGGGAAACAGATCTGGGTAACCCCATCAGAAGTTCTTTCAATTGAGCTTAATCCCTGCCATACCTCTTCTATCTTTATGACCTCGTCCAGGGACAGGGACACTCTCGGGTTTGCCATGGATTCTTTAGTAGGTTGGACAGATATTCTTGATTGTTGCTCTTCCTGTTTTGCCCTCTCACTGATCTCAATTACCCTGGTTACTAGGCATGTCTGCAATTATGCCCTAGGCTTAAGCTCTGATTGGTCACCTGCTTGTTGCCTAGGAGACCTGAAAGGGAATCCTAGTTCTTCAGACTTCTGACCCCACCACCCTCTACAAGAGCCACAGGTCCAAATCCAGGACCTCGTATGTTAGGCTATAGAGGTAGTTCCATAGCTATGATTTCAGGGGAATCAGTCCCATCATGCCCTCATTGGTGTACATACATACCCATACTGCCTCCCCCACCCCCATCTACTCCAGCTAGGTAGGAACAGAAATCAGTAAAGAACAGTAATAATATGCTTATTTTTACAGCTGTTTTTATTAAATAACCGGTTTATAAAGTCAGACCAGTGCAGTGACTTATTGGGGGAATATGGAATTAGTGCCTATATCACTGACAGTTTCCCTCAGTCACATCTTGTTCTATACAGTATGTGAAGAGAAGGGCAAGGCAGTGCATGAAACACAACACAAATCTCAACAAGGCTTGGCTGAAGTACAATACCCTAGTTCTCTTCTGCCTTTTTTACTCCACAACTTTAAATGACATGTCTGTGGGCTAGAGTCCCCACCTGAGTGGGTAAGATAGGGGGCTCTGTGGTTTCCATTTCTAACATCATAAATGCCCCCTCCCCCACTCCCACTAATCTATTTAGGATAAAACTGACTTTGGGAGAAGGCAAAAAATAACCATGATCGAAAACAAGTTGGGGTAAGGAGGAAATGACACGAAGAGAAGAAAAATATGTGGATTCAACTCCATTAAAAAATCTATTGGAGAGGGAAAGAGAGCCTCATGGAACTGTAGTTCAACAGACCACAGGGATAAGCTAAGGAATGATCTCCAGACACACATTTCAAGAATTCTGGGCATAATGCTATCAATGCTGTCCAGTGCTGCTGTGTCTCTTGCCCTGAAGAGATTCCTGGGTACAGACTGGATTCTCCTATTGGAGCTATGTTGGCTATGGCTATCCCCAAATTCAGTCAGAGGGTGCTCTCTAGTGTGTTGTAGTTATCCTTAAAACTCTTCAGCTCTAGGAAGTGCTTGGCTCTTTTACTCTTCTGGCTGGAGGGCAGATAGGTGACCTGGATAGTTGTTGGGGAGGAAACTTCAGGAGACTGTGTTAGATCCTTAGCTGCTGATTGGTGCTGCCGCTGAGAGCTCCCACCACGAGCTTTGACACTGAAGCATCCAAAGAGAAAATAAGTTACGACCAATATAAGAGAAAGATCACAGGTCAGGATTCATTGACTCTCAATAAGAACCAATTATCTTTGCCGCCACCACACACACACACACACACACACACACACACACACACACACACACAC